AGGGAGACGTTGGAACAGGGCTGGGACATCCATGTGCCTTGTAATGTTACTGTGAACCAGGGACGGTAATATCAGCCTGGTGACCTGTGTGTCCACATGACAGTGATATTGCTCTTTCTCACTCTCCCATAACAGTCAAAGAAGTTCATCTGGACAGATGGTTCTGTTTGGGATTTCAAGAAATGGGTTCCGGGTCAACCAGACAACACCAACAATACTGAGGACTGTGTGGAGATGAACTGGAAAAGTAAGAAAGGGGAGCGGTGTAGATGGGAGAACGGTGGAGGGAAAGTAGCCAGAGGGAAGCATGGAAAATGGTTACAGAACATTCATTAGAGTATAATGTAAAGCTGCTTATCTTTAATGGTCAACGTGACTTTTTCCAGTGTAAAGACCCAGAACAAATCTGATGGCAAATCCCAAAATGTTCAAATCAGCAGTGATTTGAAACTACAGAACAAGATGCACTTAAGTTAAAAAATAAGACATGTGTTTTATTGGTATAAAGGCAGTTTGCTTCAAGGGACGAGTTCTCTTTCCCATAGATCTGGGATCTTGGAATGATGACAGGTGTGCGGTGAAGAAAACCTTTATTTGTTCCTTCAAGCCGGGAGGTAGAGTCTGAAAAACACTTGAAGGGTTTTTCTTCACTGATTTCAAAAGTCACGTGACACAAGAAAGTCAAATAAAGGGCAGGATTCATGCACAAGTACAAGATGAGCAAATACTCGCAGCAGTTTGAAACGCTTCGCTGAGCTTATGCAAAATAAAATGAAATAAAAGAAATATATATGTATGGACTATATGACTGTTTTGCCTTCTAATTTCTTAGATCCCTTGTTACACATACATTCACATTTGTTTCATTTTCTTTTACAAAGCAAATTACATTAGTTTTTCACTTTCACATTCAATGTGCTAAAAAAAAAAGAAACAATGGTGTACAAGGGAAGCTGAGACGTGACAAATGAATTGCTGGTGATATTTAAGAAAGTAAATAGTGATCGTAGGGATCAGTGACGCAGCTGCAGTGGTAGATTAAGGGGCCTAGCTACATACAGAGGGCCTGAAGCAGAGAGCCTATGCGCTGGACAGGAACATTTAAACCACTGTGGAGAGTCTGGTTAGAACTCAACTGTAAATGCAAATAGGGTCCGGATCACCAGTACTTCTAATAAAGGATGTACTGCGACTTCTGTTGCCGGACTTTACGTGGAGAATAGTGTGTGGTCTGTAAACATAAACGGAACAACACAATGCAATACACTTAGCATAACAAAAACAAATTGCAGATGACATTATAAATCTCAGCTCAGCTCCTCTCTGATTGATGGACTCAAATTTAGTATTGCTAATTTTAAGATAACTAGGAAATATTATGCATTACTTACGGTCTGAGTACATACTGTCAACAAGGCTAAGCCTGCAGCTTACATACATGGCATGTAATGTTAGCATGCATGTGCTAATCAAACAAAGAGAAATCATTCATTAATTTTCCAAACCGCTTATCCTTCTGGGTTGCAGGGGGTCTGGAGCCTATCCCGGAAGCTACCGGTACGAGGTGGGGAACAACCCAGGGTGGGGGGGCCAGCCCATCACAGGGCACACTCACACATGCACACCTATGGGCAATTTTAGTATCTCCAATTAGTCTCAGCATGTCTGTGTGTGTGTGTGTGTGTCTGTGTGTGTGTGTGTGTCTGTGTGTGTGTGTGTCTGTGTGTGTGTGTGTGGGGGGGGGAATCAAAATATCGTTCTGTGTTGGGGAAGATAAAAGTGATACATGGGGGGGTGGGTAGATGGAAGTAAGGAGAGGTAGGTGCAAAAGGAAGACAGATGGGGGGAAGGTTTATATTCCTGTTCTCTTTTATTCTATCCATCTTATTTTTTTCTGTATTTTGTATCCTTCCTGTCTTTTCTTTCTTTCTTGCAGTGATGACAAGGATAGTCTTCCAATTTCATTGTATGTTATGCAATGACAATAAAGGCAGTCATTCTTTCATTCATTCACTCAAAAACCGGTTAAACAATTTCTGCGGTCTCCTGGTACCTTATGTAGTGGCACAAGGGTAAAGATTGGAATTTTTATCGACGACGCCACCTAGGGGTCGGCTACCACCTACGACTTAAGTAATACGTGCACTAACTACACACATATTCTACATATACACAGGTGAGGCTCACAGATTCATTGCCACAACAAAGCAGAGACAGGATTCTATAAAACTAATAAATTTATTATTTTCACACTGCACCAACAGGGATGACAAAGACAGAGGACCAAGAAACTATAACAAAATAGCTCCTTTGCTTAATTTTCAATGGCCAACGCAAACCCACTACTGGTTCCTACTCTGAAGGGGGTGGAACACCACCCGTAACATAACCAGATTGAGGTTTACCAGGAAGGGTCCACTATACTACACAAACACACCAGTTTGACCAGTAACTCAGGCCGGGCAGGTACACACAGGTAATATTGTAGTTACACCAAGCACGGCAATACCTCACTACACACACCAAAAGTCACTCAAGTGATTAAGCACAGCAAATGTTAAGGCAAAGTTACATGTTCATGCACTGTGGCAGACTTGCCACCGTTGTGGTTTACAAAATAACGATACGGCAACCATAAAAAAAAAAACAAAAAAAAATGAAATAAAAATAAAGCGACGAACCAATGATTCAAACTAATCATACAACACATAAAACACACACACACAAAATTAGTTCCGCTCTGATGACCTGGCCGCACACATGAAGCACACACGAAGCCCAACGAGCCAGTGAGCACGGAAGCGATGACGTGCAACAGCATCAACTGGCACCCCGGAAGCAGGTCCAATCAGTAACAGGCAGCTTACAACCGGTGGAAAATATAAGGTGCAAAAGACACATAAATACTATAGAGGTTAAGTTACAAGTAAATTAAGTTAAGGTAGCCACATACTACAGTCTGGAAGTAGTAATTCCTCCTCTCATACGGGGAATGACCAAACAGGATCACCATATAGCAACATCACATTGATTAGGAGGCTACATACCAGCAGATAACAATGAGGACGCACAACACTCCAAACAAGCGCGCCCTAGCCTATAGGGAAAATTTAGAACACCCAATCACAAAATACGATCACAGCGTATCCCCCGTTTAGACATACCTTCAACGGAGCGACACTCAATGCTCACCAGCCATTCCACACAGCCAAAACGGAACCAGCAGGAATGCAAAGCAGATGGAGAGGGGGCAACCACACGGCACTTCATCTTGGCACTCACCTCACTACTTCCCAGCCGACTTCATAAAATAGCCCCCAGACTAATTACTGAGTGTCACGTGACAAATTAAATTGCCTCAGGTGTAACGCAAATGCAATGGCTCATCTTTAAAGGGACATGCACCCCATTTCAACCCACTACAATCGCATCCCTTTAAGGAGAAGTATGGATGAATCACTGGTTATTATGCCTGATTGAATCAAATGCCCTTGGTCCCTCTACTCACTCATTCTTCCGGGTTTCCTTCTCCCCATGTGGCGTCCTACACCAAACTACTGTTCTAGCTGGGTATTCCTGCATGAAAAAGCCTACCAGCTACAGGACACAGCCATCGAGTCCTCAGTCACGACGAAGATGAAAGACGGTGGCATCTATGACGACAAACCACTCAAGCCACACATTTCATGTCTTTAATGGTCTATGTGGCCTTCAAGACGTATTTAATATTTCTATTGTAAACTGATGAAAAGATTACATGGCACTTAAAATCGATCACAAAGTCGATGTAAATACATTAACTGGTTGATAATTAACAGTATATGCATTCAAATTGACTATGCTTGGAAAAGCAATTTAAATAAAAATCACGGTTATTTTCTTACATGGTTTGCTACAATACTGTCGGTATGGACAATGGATGTATGTATGGACATACTTGTCACCATAAAATTTGCAGGGTGGTGTCATGACCTGCTCGTTCGATCCTCCCGTGTGCCACGCCCCCTCATTAACCTCGTGTACAATCCTGATTGTTCCCAGCTGATTCTTGTCGTTTCATTCAGTCCTGTGTATTCAAGTCCACGTTGGAGTATGTTTCCCCAGTCCTATCATTAATGTTTTTAGCTGTTGATGCCTGTCTTGTGCTCCAGATCGTCTCCTATCCTCATTAAACCCTGTATCCTGGACTCCCTTGCCTTCCTTCCCGTCGTGATATCACCGGCCGTTACAGGTGGGTCCCATGATGCAATTTTGGGACTTTGGAAGTCCCCATAGTTTACCCAGATGGGGCAAGATTCACAACCAGCCATGAAGTAAAATAACAAATTTGAACCCCCCAGCCTCCAATTGGTGAATTCTCCTGAGGGGAGCAAGGGACGGATGGTTCTCGCTGGAATTTCCAGAAATGGGCTCCTGGTGAACCAAACAAGCTTTTGAATGCAGAGGACTGTGTGGAGATGTACATACAATGTACTGTAAGCAAGGGTGTATATTTGGGTATGGACAATAGTAGCATGTACCTACCGATAATGTGAGAGTATCGGGGGGGTGGGAGGTTCGGGGCTGATTTGGTCCCTAACAATGTAAACCCAACCTATAGCCTTAAATGCAAGGGAGAAAGATGCTGGAGATGGGTGGTGAAAAGATGGTGTGAAAAAAATCCATGGTGAAGCATGGAAAACGATCATTCATTAAACTGTCCTGCCCCAATCGTCCACTCCTTCTGTGTGCCACACCCCTCGTTAACCTCGTGTGGAATCCCCGTGTTTACCAGCTGTGTCTTGTTGTAGTCATTAGTCTTAAGTCTGCATTAGGTATGTTTCCTCAGTACTGTCATTAATGTTGTATTGTCTGTCTGCATTCGCTTGCCTTGCCTTTGTTTTAATTAAACCCCGCATTTTCCCTGACTTCTGGTGTCCTGCACTTCTGTTTGCACTCTGTGTGCTGTATGGTGCACAACCTAAACGCTTATAAGGTATAATGAATTGATCAAATCTACTTAGACTCTTTTCTTATAAAAGGGTATCCATGCCGCCTGCAATATACAGCTGCAAAAAGAGACCATAGCACAATTTTTTGTTTCACTCATTTCTCAGTTTATGGGTGTGTGTCTGAATATGTTTCTCATTAATAAAGGGCTTCTTCCTTGCTTTGTGGGACTTCAGTCCAACTAGGAACCTGTACAAAATAGTTGTGATGTCAATCAGCGCCAGTACCAGTTTCTACACCAGTGGAAAACCAACACTTTGAATTGCTGTACCTTTGTTACTTTCTTGAAGTACGAAAAGTACGGTACCTGGTCCGGTAGAAAAGCACCTTTTAGTTGAGTGGTGATTGGACAGCTTTACAGTGCTGTACATGTTGTACGTGCTGTACGTTCTCTGCTATGCTCAAGCTTCTTCTGCGTACTGGTTTCTTCTGCTACTTTCAGGTCAAAGCCGGGGGGAAGGGACTGTGGAGCATGTGCAGAGCACCTAGACCAGTTTGAGTCCAATTTAACATAAATATGCAGG